GTCCTTAACGTTTCAAAGACCCCAGTAAGAGACTCTGTACCTCCCTACGTGACTCGAAACAACAATCAGACACTCCATGGAATGATGACACATTTTGATGTACCCACCCCCAACTCTTTACCACAGAAAAATGAGGTGTCTGATTTACTTTCTATAGTTTGGTTTGTAAGGATTAGTTATGTTTTACGAATTGATCACGGATTGATATCAGTTAGAGAACCATTGAAACCTAGGGAGTACTGGACAGCCGCTGTTTCATCCTAGTTTGGGAATCATCGGCAGTACGCACCCACTGGGATTCGAACCCAGGTCCTTCCGGTTACAAGGCAAGCTCGTACTGCCGATGATTCCCAAACTAGGATGAAACAGCAGCTGTCCAGTAGTCCCTGGTTTTCAATGGTTCTCTAACTGATATCAATCAGTGATCAACTCGTAAAACATAACTAATCCTTACAAACCTAACTATAGAAAGTTAATATGATGCTCGCTAGTGACTTGCTACAGGTTGGAGTTTCCTGAGTTCTAGTGAGAAGTCGCGACCAGTGAGGTCCAATTAGATGTCACGTGTGTGGATGGATGTCCCACCAACGACAATGGTTGGGGTTGCGCAAAATCACGAATTGGTAGAAGCTAGAATTCATGAGCCATTGAATTGGGCCCCAGTGGCTGAATGGTATACGAGCTTGCCTTGTAACCGGAAGGACCTGGGTTCGAATCCCAGTGGGTGCGTACTGCCGATGATTCCCAAACTATGATGAAACAGCGGCTGTCCAGTACTCCCTAGGTTTCAATGGTTCTCTAACTGATATCAATCCGTGATCAACTCGTAAAACATAACTAATCCTTACCGAAATGCACACGAAACCTCTCTATTACTCACTCATCTTTGTCTTCATCTTCATCTCTATCATCTTGCCTTCCTTCCACTGATGCAACTCCTCGACTTGATAGCTCTCCACTTCCTCTCCACTCTGCGTCCACTAAAAACGATGGAAGCCAAAAAACCACCACCGACAGCCTCTTAAAGCCGCGCCACCAATTTCATATAGGAGCTCTTAATGTTAGGACACTTTGCCAAATAGGACAACAAGCATCACTAGCCAAGACCCTGGCATCACGAGCCATTGATGTATGCTGTGTTTCAGAAACACGCATACAAGACCCAAGTGTGGTTATTCACCTAACCCCACCTGGCCAACAGGTTGAATCTGCAAAATTCACCTTGAGGGTGTCAGGAGATGCCACAGCTAGTTCACGAGGATTAGCTGGCGTAGGGATAGCTTTGAGTACTAGGGCAGAAAAGACATTGCTTGACTGGATCCCGGTAGATAGCCGAATGTGTGCTGTCCGCCTGAACGGATCAGTAAGAAGGAGGAAGGACTGCACTACTCGCCGATGCCTTTTCGTAATCTCCGCCTACGCCCCCACTGACTGCAGTTCAGATGAAACGAAGGATGAGTTCTACCAAAAGCTGTCTAGTTTGGTGCGAAAGGCTAAACGCTCAGACATAGTCGTTCTAGCTGGTGACTTTAACGCTCAAGTAGGGAAATTGTGTCAATCTGAGAAGGATGTCGGTGGCACCTATGGAGCTCCGTGCCAGCGAACCGACAACGGTGACCGTCTCCTACAGTTCTGCTCTGATAATCATTTGTTTCTTGTAAGCACTAACTTTAAACACAAGGAGAGACACTGTTTGACTTGGAGACCCCCTTCATCAAACCAACGCTGGACACAAATAGACCACATAGCAATAAGCTATCGTTGGCGTGGGTCGGTAGGAGATTGTCGCTCCTTCTGGAACACGTGCGTAGATACCGACCATGCACTGGTCCGCGCTCGGGTGTGCTTACGACTGAACGGACGTAGGAAACAGCTGGCGGTAAAACCATCACGTCCCCAGCTCGATCAGGAAACTAAATCCGTATTTGAGGAAGAACTAGCTAAACACATATCTGTGTTCGACAGCTGTGCTCACCCTGAAGAAGCTTGGAAAAATATCCAGGCAGCCATAGATACAGCTGTAAAAGCTGTGAATAAGGTAAACCCAAAGGTGAGTAAAAACCACTGGATCTCCACCGCCTCATCCGAACTGATAGATGCTAGAAGACTTATTCCGGCGAGCTCCGAATTCAATGAGGAGCGAAAGCTGCACAAGAGGAAACTTACGAAAAGTCTCCGCAAGGACCGTGAACAGTGGTGGGCGACAAAAGCCAAAGAGATGGAGAAAGCTTCGAGGATAGGCAACACCAGGCAACTCTTTGGACTCATCAGGGAAACGGGTGGGAGAAGACAAATCATTAGTGAGACAATCTCGGAAAAAAATGGCACTATAATTAGCTCACAGGATAGACGACTGGATCGTTGGAAAGAGCATTATGAGGAGCAGTTTAATTTGCCCACAGCCACGCTCAACCTTCCGAGCATCCAACACCTCCCTGAATGGGATATAGACACAGGTCCTCCGTCACTAACTGAGGTTACTAAAGCTGTCACCAATCTGAAACTAGGCAAAGCAGCGGGACCTGATGGAATGACTCCAGAGGTATTTAAGTACGGTGGAGACAGCTTACTGTCCGGATTAACTGAGGTACTAGGCAGCGTCTGGGAATCAGAAGAAGTCCCATCGGGTTGGTGTAAGTCACTGATTATCCCCATATACAAGAAGGGAGACAAGTCTTCCTGTGATAATCACAGAGGGATTAGCTTGACTAATATAGTATCTAAAGTCTTAGGCTCAATAATCATGCGTAGACTGAGTGGTGCTCGGGAAGCACAAACACGAGAGAGCCAGGCAGGCTTTAGACCAGGAAGAGGGTGTATTGATCATATCTTCACCCTCCGACAGATTCTAGAACATAGGCATTCCTACCGGCGTCCAACAGTCATTATATTTCTTGACCTAAAGGCAGCATTCGACTCTGTCGATCGGGAAGTTCTCTGGAGATGCTTGGCTGTAAAGGGAATTCCAAGAAAATATATTGCACTGATTAAGGCACTCTACTCGTACTCATACAGCCAGGTGAGGGCTTACGGCGAGCTGTCATCTGAACTGATGACGACCAGTGGTGTCCGTCAAGGATGCCCATTATCTCCTTTTCTATTCAACTTCATCATAGATGTGTTAATGGACTTAACCCTAGGTGACTTCAGCGACTCAGGGATTGACTTGCTACCAGGGAATAATCTCGTTGACTTGGAATATGCAGACGATATAGTCCTTCTAGGCGAAGACGCTGACGAAATGCAGAGTCTTCTAAACACCTTGAACCGCAATCTACGAATGTTTGGCATGCGATTCGCTCCCGCCAAATGCAAGATGATGTTACAGGACTGGACTACATCGACGCCTAGTTTAAAAATAGGAAGTGAAGTGGTAGAGCACGTTGACCGCTTCACTTATTTGGGAAGTACCATCAGCCCCAACGGGCTGATCTCTGACGAAATCTCAGCACGAATACAAGGGGCTCGTTTCGCATTTGTTAGTTTACGCCGACTCTGGCGTAGACGAGATGTTCGACTATCGACCAAAGGGCGGGTGTACTGCTCATCAGTCCGCTCCGTCCTCCTTTATGGTTGTGAGACCTGGCCACTGAGAGTGGAAGACATGAAAAGACTAGCTGTCTTTGATCATAGGTGCCTGCGTTCTATTTCCCGTGTAAAGTGGCATAATAAGGTGAGCAACATGGAGGTTAGGCGTAGAGTTCTAGGTAAACAGGGGAAATCAATCGACGAAGTCGTGAAGCTACAAAGACTGAGATGGTTAGGACATGTGTTACGTATGCCAAGTCATCGCCTCCCTCGACGAGCAATGTTAGCGGATATAGGGTCAGGCTGGAAAAAAGCTAGCGGCGGTCAAACAAAAACTTGGCATCAGTCAATGAAATCCACAACAGTTGGTCTAAGCCACGTAGGAAGGTGTAGACTTCCAGGCTGGGGTCCTCGGGACGGTAAAAATCTATGGTTGGAAACAATTGGTGACATGGCTCAAAATCGTTCTCAGTGGCGCAGATGCATCCACTCCCTGTGACTTATGATCTTCAATGAAACTGTTTTGTATTTTTTTATTACTCCTTTGTCTCACACCTCTGCTCACTGTTTCTATTATGCTTTTCTTGTACTTTCTTCTCTTGCTTCGCGTGCTACACGGAATGTGGCGACTTGAACTTCCGCACATTTGTGCAAAGTTCTATGTCGAAAACAGACAGACAGACAGACAACTAATCCTTACAAACCAAACTATAGAAAGTAAATCAGACACCTCATTTTTCTGTGGTAAAGAGTTGGGGGTGGGTACATCAAAATGTGTCATCATTCCATGGAGTGTCTGATTGTTGTTTCGAGTCACGTAGGGAGGTACAGAGTCTCTTACTGGGGTCTTTGAAACGTTAAGGACCAATGGCGTGAGCCTATTGGAGAGATAGCTAGAAATCGTTGTCAGTAGTACAGATGCATTTGCTCTTCATGAACTCCCAGACTCATCATATTCTCATGAGCCATATACTTATTCTTCCTTCCTTGCATCTGCGTTCATTGTAGTTGCTATGGATTTTCCTGCTCTACCTTGGTGTGCTGTATAGACTGAGGCTACCTGAACTGTTGTACTTTTGTGCAAATGTCTACGTTGAAAACTCAGTTAGTTGTTGTACTGACTTTATGAAAATGTGGTGAATTTCACTGTTGAGACACCTCTGAGTTGTACCAGTATGTGACACGCTGTAATCATATAAGGATTCTAAATACAATAGCAAAATTCAGAAATGACTACAATATTACCAAAAAGTACGGACTTTCCAGACGGACAGCCACATCTGGTAATGTCATTCACACTAGTTCATAATACACACACTAACAGATTGTTTCACAAAAACACCTCTGTCAATAAACTTTTATTTTCTCTAGTTTCAGAAACAATTTATTTTTTCAAATCTTACAAATTACAGAGACATTTTCTTAGTTATCTGAAGTTAATATATTACTAATTGGAAACACCACTTTGATGTCTATTTTCGAAAAGAATCCATGGATGTCGGTTTTTCACTGAAATCAAAATGAACGGAATCTTCAGCTGCACTGGCTACTGCAAAAATATTCAGTGGAACATCTCTAACTTACAATTCTTGTCCACAGCTTCTATATAACTGCTTAATTTCTGTTTAAATAATGCAAGTGCCTCCTTTGTATAATCGGAGAACTCTGTTATTTCACTTGAAATATAACCAGGATTCTTCTACAGACAAAACAAAAACAAAAAGCCAACTGAGGGAGACTTTCAAATTTGTTTTAAAGTCTAGACTACTTTATACAACATTCGACTAGCAGGTATACGTCAATCCTATATTTTTATTACGCTAAAAACGTGAAATTCAAGGCTTTAATGAAGATGACAAATTATCACACGAAATGGGTTGACTAACTTGACAATAAATACCAAACGCAACTGTCCGTCACACGTCAAAACTATACAACGTAGAATTTCACATCTAAATGTGTTCAATAAGATGAGAATTTAGAAGTAATGATTGCTATTATCTGATTCAGTGAAATCTGCTATATATAACAGCCGAGTATTAAATCTAAGCAGCATCACCAAGCACAGTGTGAAATGACAGTTAAATCTACACCCCAATTTTATCTACCTTGAAATAGCCCTCGACAGCGTTGATCCCTGTGCCCCAACTCTTTATCAACCTCATTCAATAGCTACATGAAAATGAAACATGTCGAGTAATCCGCAACAGAAAACTCAGCAAAGCCTCTGAAATGAAGACCGGAGTAAGACAAAACTGTCCATTATCACCGATGATATTCCCAGTTGTAGCGGAGTAGATTACGCGGAAGACTGTAGGAAGAGAGAAGACAGTGATACGTAGAACAGGTAAGAAGACCCCAGGAATAATGGACTTCACAGAAATTTATGTCTAATTTCACAAAACTCCAAGATCTACAGGAGAATACCAGCATGTTGACAGAAAAAGTAGTGAAGGCAGGACTTTTTCTTAATTATAGCTTGATTCCACAGTGTTTTGGTACAACTATGAAATTTTCAGCTTGTGATATCGAAAGCCCAAATTTAGCAGGTCGTCTACTGATATTAGGAATGCGTTGGAACAAGTGAATACAGGGAAGGCAAGGTTGACGAAGATACCTAAGTTACAAAAACAAGCACTAATCATTGACAATGGGTGGAATCCGAAAGAGGTTACTTTCTTCACTTATCTAGGCAGGATCGCTTCAAATATAGACGGCACAAATAACGGCAAAGCCAGTTAGTATCAGAAGAGCATGACAGGCCTGAATCCATCCAAAATCAATGTGGAAATCTGTTGCAATTAGCATAAACAACGAAATTAGAGTTTTCAGCAATAATGGTAATTCATGTTTTCTATTTAGGTCAGAAACTGACTGCGTCGCGAAAAGCACTTCCAACGGCATGCTGCAAACTTACCAACAGCTGCATTCGCTGGCTCCACACTGAAGAACAGATGGCCTGAAAGAATTAGTAACACGAAACTCTGAGGGCGTACCAATTAGGAACCTACTGTTCCACATGAATGCCAAAGGAAATGGAGACGGAATACAGATATGCAGAGAGGACCGTGGAGTGACATCACACTCCAGGCATACACACGAGTGAAACCCGAATGGGGAATCAGTTGGACGTCAGAGTGTGACATGGAGGAGGCCATTTGACGAGGAGTTGAGAGTTCATATGGACCTTCATCTCATATGAGCAATCGTGGAGCCGGTTAAAGAGGGCAGAAGATATGATGTTGAAGTCTTATGTTCCACCGACAACCCCCAAGCTTACAACAATTCTAAACTTACTCTAACCAATTCTTCGGTAATTGTTATTAATAACAGTTAAATATACACGGTAGGGGTTATCAAAAACTACTGGAAAGACGGAAAAGAGATCAGAAAACACAAATAGGAAAAGTGAACTTTTATGTATGCACCAGGTATAAGTATGCTTAAAATGACATTGAATATTCAATGTCAGTAACACGTGCCGTCCCTGGAATTCCTTACCGCAGATGTAGCTATGGCACCGTCTTTGGACGCCTTTAAGCGAAGGCTGGACAACCATGCAGCGATACAAGGACTGTATTCAAATGGCCTATCTCCTTAAAATCGCATACACCATTCAAGGGTAGGCAATTAAACTCGTCGTTTTACTTCTTTACATTCTCTCCCGTCTTACTCTCCTGACAACTTATTAATATTATAATTGCTATTATTACTATTACCGATATATACATTATTCTTCAAACTTAATGAGCTGACTGTTGTTACGCTTTCCTATTTCCGTTTCTGTTTCTTAGTCTGAATAACTTCACTAATTATACCTATTATTATTACTATTATTATTATTACTATCTTTTCTCTTGTCGACAACACCGAAGGACTAACTGGCGAAAGGATCAACTCCAATCACAGTAGTAACAGTCTTAACATACCTCATACTACAAACCATATATAATTAATCCGTCTACCAAATCCTAAATGACCAGGCCCACCCAAATAAAAGCATCCTGCCATTAAGTGACTATAGGCTTCCACGAGGTAACCCGCTAAGGATAGCACACCAGAGACCAAAGACTCGAGTGCGATCACATTTCTTTTCGCTTCGTGTTTGCCGTCTCTGGAACGCTTTACCGGCGGCCGTGACTACAGCGCCATCTCTGGAGATTTTTAAGCGGAAGCTAGACAATCATGCAGAAATGCAAGGTTTGTGTCTCAATGGCTTATACTCATAAAATTTGAAACCAAACTGTCAATGAATAAGCGTACAAACTAAATCCCCACGACCCATTCTGCCTTCTCTCACTCTATCTTTTCCTTAGGTCACCTTTATTATTCCACTTATCTCAACCTATATTATCTACACTACAACCTATTATTATTATTATTACTATTCCGCTTTTATGACTACACCGAATGACCAACGGGAGTTAGGTCAAACTCCATTCACGGCAGCAATACAGTCCTAACATACTGCATACTACAAACCACATCTCGACCAATCCCCGCACCACTCCTCCTGGAGTCTACCAGAGCTAAAGCAGTCGAGTGACGGGACTTACTACGCAGAAGCTCACCGAAGTTCTGGAACCTCTACCTCACAATCAAGAAGCGAGCACAAAGAAATCAAACTGGTTTATACTAGCTCGTAAAAACGATATTGGATATTGGATTAACAGTCTGACCTTACGAAACCTTTGAACAACTTACCTCCTTATCAAGAGTTGTAATCTCCTCCTTGAAATTGTATTTACGGTGCAAATAACTCATGTAATCAGGACATTTTACTACGAAAATACAGCAACAAGAACTAGAACCTACAATCCGCCATTTCGTATTACCGCGGTAAAGCGCAAACTCGGAAAGAAATCATATGCGTGATGTCAAGGTATAAATTCTCAAGCATCAAAAACGTATTTAGACAGTGTTTATTTTTCATTATTAACAGACTTCATTATTGTACTTTATGGACTGATTCAAGTTTTATTTCTGGATGCCATGACAACGCTTAGGTCGAGTGAAAAGTATGCGTGATTTGAAAAAGCGACAGTTGTATGTTTGCAAATGGAGATTTCTGCCTTCGGAAAAATCACAGTTTCAAGGCTCGGTATGTTCCTTGAGTTGCATTGTTCTATTGTTTAATTGCTTTTTTGTTTTTTACACTTTCATCACTTGTGATACGTTGTGCAGTTATAAAATGACCCATTTTAAGGCGAATCAGTTACTGCACTACTTCTGAAAAATATCGTGAATATTTATCTACAATTACATATTGGTTATTTCACCATCTGGTCCATCCTTATTGTGCTTGTATCGCTCGTAATTTTATTAGTTGTATTAACAAGCTTTTTCACAAACTATTCCGGATACAATTCCTCTGAGGTCAAACTCAGAGACCTATTGAAGGAATTTCTTGCAATCATATGATGAGGTGAGGGTTTGACTCGCCATGCAATTCTGACTTGAACTGAATGAATAGAAATGAAGTGTATAGCTAAGTTTATATATTGCTGCACTAGCACTTCCCTGAGAATTTTGTCTGACTAGTTGCCATGTTCAATCCTAACATCTGATGAACCCATTAGTAGGATGGCGATAAAATCATGCAAATCCTTAAGCGAGTGAATGTTTTGTTTCATTCAAAAATACTTTTATCAAGAGAAAAGTGTAAGGATAACCTACAGTGTCCTATTTCGTGTTGAAATTTAGGTTTGTCCATTTCTGGCGTGAAGAGAATTGGCGAAATATCAGGTGTTCTCCTTAGAATTTAGTATTTCAACGATTGCTTAACACGCAGGGTTATTATTATTTCCAGTAAAGTTCAAAGAAAACTTGTGTCCACAAATTTTCATGTTGCTTTTTCACTTCAGTTACATCACCCATGAAGAAAAAATGCTGTATCTCGCAAAAGACTATCTGCTAGCGAGCTCATTTACCCCTCTTAACGTTCGCCCAGTATATGTTATCCCCTGACCAATATGCTCATGTTATCTAGTTAAGATTTCGCCCTAAGTCTTGAGGGATACCGAACTATCAGTTTTCTCCAGATGTTTGCACATACACAAAAACTGGAACTTTTTATAAAGTACAGGATTCGTTATATCCTATTTATTAGAAGATCTCCTTCTGCGATGATAAGATCCAAGTTGCTGAGCCTCTTACAAATCCACATTTGTGGACATTATATAGATTCCACCACTCGACAAGCCTCCCCACACAGACCCAATGACAGTAATCCGAAAAACACCAAACTTCTAACGGTATATGGCCCTTGGCTTTGTCAGTTATACGGTGTAATGTGAGGAAGTGTCAGAGAAAGATACTGTGCCAGTGAAAACACTTCTCGGAGTAATTGCAATTGTAGCCTTCAACGATCAGTGGTAATCGTCACGGATGAACTTTGTCAACATATTTATCTAGCCTAATTACAAATCACTTTATTTTAGGCCTATCGGGTGTAGATCTGTCTGTCGACATGGAGAGTGCAGAATTTATAGTCCTAAAGAGAAAGAACATCAACAAGATTCAGAATCTAATAAATATCACCATTTCTCAGTCTCATTCATCTGTTAGATGGTATCAAAGGACCTTTAGGTTTAACGAATAGTGAGTTTACTGCTTGTCATGCGAGAACCTGACACATATGTATAAACGACTCGTATTTCCTCGCTAACTTGTTGCTTTCGGTTCACTCTTGACATCCCGTGCACTGAGAAGCAACTCACTCCGTCCAACAGTATAGCCGCAACGAATATACATTATTGTTGGATGATCTCAAAGTTCAGCAGATTTAGAGAGTGAAGGCCTGTGTTCGACTGCCCACATATGGCGGAACAGCATGACAAGTAAGAACAATTCTGAGGCAGTTAACCGAATAAGTTACTGTGTTCTATTCAGTGTTTTAGTTCGAAGATGCATCATGTATTCTGAAATTTAATATCTTTTGTGGAAGAAGAATCTAGTTGGCATAGTCCTCGGAGTCACCTACATCCAAATATGACATCAGTCAGAGGAGTAAATGAATGTCTGTATGTGACTCATTTTCACATGCGAATGTTTTGGAATGCTACGGCAGTGTAGGTATTCCTTTATGTAGTTCTGCTGGCCACATATGCCAAGCGACGCATTTGGGTACCTGGACGTTTTTCACTAAGACTGTGTCATATATATTTGTTGTCGCACTACCTAACTTGGATCCAGTATCCTTCTCAATAACTTGTATAAAGATGTCTTCAAGTTCGCTTCTTGGTGTCGATGTCTGCTATCTTTTGTAGGCCCCTGAGTTATTCATCATGCTACTGACTCCCTGTGGATTTGTTGAATCACAAGACGTGTGGTACTGGTGGACCGTTACATTTGTTTGCAGTATATGGACAATAAAGTCCATAGCACTACTGTAGTCGGAATTGATCCCACAGCCGTCAGGCATCCAGGATCGCCGTAAAGTGACACCACCGTATCAACAGTATAATTAACGAAGGGTATACACAAAAACATAAGTAAAAAGAAGGCAAACAGATAAAAAGACGGCCAAAAATGAGAATGTGTGAGCAGAGTAAGCAGAAGTGTGAGACAAGAAAGACCATGAGTGTATCACCAACGGGTTTTGAGGAAAACTCATTTATAGGGAAATGTTCGTCAGAATTAAATACCGAGTCGGTTGAAAGGATATCTTACTGAATACAGCCAGTGTGCCGATGCATGATTATCAGGCCTCCTTCTGAAATTATCCACTAAAAGTAAGGTAGCCACGACTACTGTTGAAGCTTTCCACGGAAAAATAGTGGAGTACTCGAGTTTTTACCCATTTATTGCCAGTCCATGGCCTGATCTTAGTTTTCCTTTCCGGGTGACTGCGGTCAGTAGCAACCTTACAGGCAATGATCAGAGCTCCCCTGAGCTGATGGTATATGATTGTTGTGACCGGAACCACGACCCAGTAGACTCTCAGCGAGTATCAATTTTAATCAGCTGAGTAATCTATCCTAATCGCATGTCAACGTCGACAATGATACCGCCGGACTGCACAGACGGAAGAGAAGACTGGAAGTTAGTAAGTGGGCTTCTACTGTCTCAAAACAATAGTCGAGTAAAAAGTTGACGGAGCTTACGTGCATGTATGTTTAAAACGACCTCGGGGGAATTAACGTGATTAATGAGTTAGGACAGTGAACATCCAATAGGATCCCGAAGGTTATAAGTAGATGAGAGAAAGTCAGGTCACAAAACGATAAGTTAGGTGAGAGAAATACGAACAGATATGTAAAATGATATTTAGGAAACAAGGTCTGAATATGTGACTGGGTTTAAAGAGATGTCAAATTCGCGACGTTCCGAGACAAAATTTTCTCAGAAAGGCTTGGCTCACCTCGTTTGTCCTCCTCGGCACCCTTCCCTTGCAGTCTGAGTTTCCCCGAAGAACAGAAGGGATTTGGTGTTACGCGAATCAGAGTGAAGTTTCACACTGACTTTAGGGCTACTGCGGTGGTATATGTCCGAAAAAACCTACTGCATAATTAGCGATTGAGTCGAGGTTCATCATCAGAAGTAGGTGCGTATTGCAATGTGACGCTGAGAGTATCAAGCTACAGTCAGCCTGTTCAAATTATGTGGCTATCTGAATTTTTATCTCGAATAACACACTATGTTCTCCAGATTTTACTATTTCAACCATTGAAATGTGTCCTTGAGTTACTCGATGCACTCACGCACATTTTTAACTGGCTGTCACACTACTGCTTATTGTTCAGACATTAAAGAAAAACATAAGGGATCGGTCTATGCTTCAGGTCGACCAACACCATGTCCAGTGATATTCTGTAGATTCCCTGTGTGTATGAAAAGCCATGGATGAAGGGTGAACATCATGCGATGAATTCAGTTAAGAGCTCTACACATCGCGAAGACATTCTCCCTACAGTAAAGCCATTATCATAGCTGTAATTGCACTGGTGCGTCGATGGCATAACGGTTAGGACGCTCGCCGACCATGCACTGGGTCCGGAGTTCGATTGCCGGCCGCTAAGCCTGAATTAAAGCTGGTAAAGCAGAAAGGTTGGGCATGAGGTTAGCAACCCCATCCTGTAAAATAAACACTGCTACAGAAACTTCATGTCTCTAGCTTGAAGCCTTATGTTACACCAGGAATGTGAAGGAATTAAAAAAATTGCATTGGTGAAAAGACCAGTGGTCGAACCCATTTGAACATTTTGGCATTAAAAGACATTTCGTTGGCCTACGCCCAGTCTTCGAGAGATTCTAGGCATGTCGTCCTTTTTAGAGTCTTCCTGACACTGCATCGCCCTTCAAATCTTGTTGCAACAGTGTGCAGAAGGGTCCATATGTGACAAGATGAGTGGATATGAATGACTTTAAACAGCACACCCTAACAGCAAAGTAATCCGCGAGCCAAGATGGGAGCAACGCGCCAACAATTGCCCGCTTACTTTATGAAAGCGAATGGGGTACTGAACAGATTAAAGTACTTTCGTAACCTTTGAAAGGATGATAGCGCCTAGAATGATATCTGGCCATTCCACATCAGCAGTAAGCTTGTGCACCTAATCTACCTCTCGTGAAACTATGCCAAGTCTAGTGGAATCTACTCTGCTCACCACTGTGTTTTCCAGTATCATCAAGCACAATTTTCAACAGCTTCGGCAGTTTCAAGAATAACGCTACAGACATGCAACAAGTGGTGTTTTTCCGATATCGCTCCACAAAAAGTAAATTGGAAGCCTATTTCCCACCCCATCTGGGTGTTGAGGCCA